AAAAATGTGTTTAGGTTGTAATTTTCCCATCCTGTGCTGTGCAATTAATTTTCATTCGACATTTACATAGATTCTCTTTATTCATAAAAAAAGGTGTTAGTTGTCATAAAGCTTCGACTTTCGTACAGTTCCGCAAGAATTTCCCACACGCATGCACGAAAAGTAAACGAAAACGGTACTAAATTCTGGATATATGATTACAGTATTCATTCCTTATTTTTCATTATACTCTCTATATAATTAGCAATAGTTAATTTATTTATTGATGTTCTAATCTGGAGGCGAGCCTAGTACTGGATCTGTTGAATAACGTTATTTAAGTTTTTCCGTTTATATTTTCGAGATTTAAAGTTCTGTTTTAACAGTAATATCCAATTGTTTCCTTAAAGTATGAGTAAAAAAATGTCGTTTGATAGTGATCAGCAAATAAGACTTTAAAAATAAATTTTGAATGAACCTTGGAAAATATTCCTTTTGTAGAACTGCATTATATGCCCTTATTCACTGAAGCAAAGTTTTTCTTTTTTGGTTCTTTGAGAATATCCATTAGATTACGCGTAAGGCTCTGCTTGCGAAGGAAATGGTGAAATCAGTTTGATAATGAATATATTTACAAGGAAAGTTTAAAAGTTTCTTTCCATTGAATGAAAGGAAAGGTTTGTTACTGAAGATTACAATACGCAATCTTCTTAAAGAAGCCCCATAGGATATGTCTTCTATGGCAAGCCTCTTAATTCTAAAGGAAAGAATTGCGTCCTTCTAGCAGCCCATTGCCGCAGTGGACAATAACCACCATTCCCGGCATTCTTAATCATGGCTATCTCCCTTAATGAAATCTTTCCCTTCTCCACGAAGGAGGCTCTGAACAATGGGCCCAACTAAAACGTCACGTCGATAATGGAATTAAAAAAAATAATAAAAGCCTCATTTAAGCAATATTTACAAATTCCTGCCGTTAACATAAATTTAGGCAATGCAAAAGTGCATATTTTATACATAAAGTGATATTAGTAACGTCTAACTGTTGATTAAATGACTTATTATATATATGCATATAGTACAAAAGTATAAGACGTTTTATCAAATCAATGATGTTAAGCTATCTAGCATGAAAAAAAGCGATCAAGGAGCAAGAATAGAAGATTAAATCTGAAATCAAAAGCAAAATAAGGTATTAACAAAATATTCAATTTAGATAATAACTGCTTTTGATTTTGGGATTAAGTTACTGTATTTGCGTACCTTATTACTCAGATGAAAAAATTTCACATTACTCTGACAGTATTAAGCACTATTTCAAATGCTTTTCACTCAATATTTTCTGATTTTGTTCAAAGAATTCATAAAATAACTTTCTAATTTTAACCTGAAAAAGGCCTTCTAACTCTCCTTCGTTATTTTTAGTCCAAAGGGGCAGGCTAAGAAGGACTATAAATTTCATTTTTGCATTTTGCGTCGATTCACGATAAGTGTTGTTTCACTTTTTAAATTGTTGGCTCCAAATATTATCGCCCTGTATTATATTTAAAGAAATTAAATAATGAAGAATCTGCATGACTGTATGTATGTTTCTCGCATTGTGATAAAACAACTGTACCTAGAGCCATCAAAATTTGAATAACGTAATTTTCCATACAATACGGGCATGTGAAAGACCTAATTTGAATTTTAAATTTGTTTTATTATTGATTTCTTATTTTGTAACACTCAACGAATTTTTGGTTAACAAACTAAACGATTTCAAAGCGAGCAATAGCGACACTGTACGGAAAAAAAAACATTTTTTATCTCCAGCGCCGCGAGTCTCTGTATCGGAAATTCTAAAGATATGCTCTTTAAAAATTATTTCGCGATATTGCTGTTGAACTCAATTTTATGGTTTATGCGCGTAGAAGATGATATTTAATAAATAAAGGTAACTCACAAAACGTTAAAAAAACGCCCCGTTGGACTTACTTTAAAATCTGAAACTCTTCAGTCGTGTCAAACTCAGTGTGAAACTCTTCAGTCTTCTTTCGTGTCTTTAAATTGTTTTACCTTTATCTAATTAAATTATTTTTAATTTCAGTTAAATTAAAAATGTAAAAATACGTATTATTTCTTATTACTAATGGATTTCCTAGTGTATATTGATTCGAATCCTAGATTCCACATTTATTTACTTCAGACAACAGTTGATTACTCTGCGCAGAAGTGAGACAACTCTCGACAAAGCAGATTTGCATTGCAGAAATCTGCAAAATTTTTGCAGATTTGTATTGCAAAAATTTTATCAAAGCATTGTGCGTAGTTCTAGGGTAAAATATTTTAATTATACACGGATTATAATATCGTTGTAAAATATTTTTTTTAAATTTCTCCGTTGAAAAAGGCATGTCCGCCGAAAAAGTCGCGGCAAAAACATCGCGGATGAAAACGTCGCAGAGAAAAGAGCATACGGAGAAGACTTCGTGGTACAAAACATCGCGGCAGAAAAAGTCGCAAAGAGAAAATATCGCAGTTCTAAAACATCGTGGTCGAATCGTGTACCAAGGATCGTGGTTTATTTTTTACCACGGTATTTTCAACGACCATGTTTTGGAACACGGTCATGGTTTTGGAACATGGTTGTTCTGGAACATGGCTGCGAAGTTTTGGAACCGCATTATTTTCGACCACGATATTTTAGAACTGCGATGTTTTCTCCGACGATGTTTTGTACCATGACGTTTTCTCCTTGAGTTGTTTTCTCCGCGACGTTTTCGTCTGCGATGTTTTCGGCTCTAACCTAAAAAGGGTATTTACATTGAAAATGAATAATTCAAAGAATAGGAAGTGCTTTATTGTTATCAGAATAGAAGTATATGATGGCTCGAAGTAAACGGTATATAAGAAAAGAAGATAATTTAGGTGTTTTCGAAATTATCACAGGTTAGCAAGTCTTTCGACAAAGAGAAACGCATCTTTGCTCATCCTAGGAAAGTAAGCTATTTACAAATCCGCTGCCCAAAAGGGATAATGGTTAGAGACACTGATTGCTATACCGAAGGGCTCGGATTTGAAAGCCGGAGAAGGCATGTATGTTTGAAAATGTATAGCATTTCTTGTGCGAAATGGGAACACTATAAAGCCTCCATGAGCTGAAAGTTTTCTCGAGAGGTTGGCGGTAGGAGAAAAGGGCTGAGACCCTTGAACCCGTCTTGGGAGAACTTGAACACCACATAGGTGAAAGTTGAGCTTTCACCTATGTGGTGCTCAAGGCTCTTGCCAATGACAGCCGCGTTTGATTCCTTGCCACGAAGCATGCCATGGGCTTGTGCTGACCTCTGTCAGAGTGAGACTGACAGCAAGCGCATTTTTAAAAATGTCATTCATCCTAAAACTGCGATCTTCGAAATCATCGCGAAATACTTTTTGCGAAGAAATCTCACAGCTTGTTCAAAATAATATTCTGTAATAATTCTAAAGGAAATTCTTTTGTTACCGCGTAGAATGGTTGACACTGAAAGCATAAAAGCAAGTGACGCCGAAAACGAGAAGATTTGGCTATATCTGAAAAGAAATTCTGTACTATTTCTATCAAATATTTTTTTAATGTATTGACATTTATTACGATAATGTGTTTAATTTTCTGAACGTCTTTAATTTTGCTATACATTGAATTATATACGGCAATACATAATATTATTATTGTACGATCAATATAGCATTATCAGCTGCAATCAATTTGCATTACCCAGACGCCTTCGATAAACTATAATTTAGATCAAGAGCGAAGCTGTCATAGATGGCTGAGAGAGGCTTTTATCGTCTTTGTCGCCCACCAGCCGCCGAGCGGTCGCTGGACACTGGTAGTTCGGTCCAGGGTTCAAATCCCGGCAAATGATATAGCTGAATGGGTATTTTCGTAGTTTCCCATTGTGTAACGCGTATACGAGCCAGTTTTTCTTATAAAGATCTCCACGAAGGCAACACTCCCCTTTGGCAGATAGCCCTCGAGTGCATTGCCATAATTAAATAAATCAAATCAAATCAATCATCCTCTTAGTCTGTTTTCACTTCTCTTACATTATTATCTGATACTTGATACAAGAATGTGTGTTTAAAACAGAAAGATGCTAGTGCTATACTTTTAATTTTAAATTAATTCACGTAGTTAAAAAATGTATTAAATCAAGATACTTGAGAATGTTCTAACGACACATTAACATGCAAGAACACGAGAAAAAATCTCAAGTAAATCAAATTAATTTTTTTTCGCTACTAAGCAAATACCTGATGAAGAGAGAGCTAAAAAACTGCATAGAATGGCGTGAATTTGTGTTATGAATATTCATTAAATTTTGAGAAATTTCTAAAAATAGTAATACTTTTAGTCTCTTCTTTTGTTTTTAAACAAAGACAGGAAATTCGTCATTTTAATATTAGGGCATCTTGTTACAGATGAACTTTTTCGAAGCAATTATATCAGTAAGCTTTTTATTATTCTGAATAAAACGAAGTAAAAATTCTCTTTTAAAATTTTTGAATTCAAATAATTTTCAAAAAATGTTCACTTTCTGAGTTAAACGTCAATAAAACTGGACATTTTCAGAAACATTTCATTTTTAAATTATTGATTTTCTTGATTCAGCTATAGTTTAATCTCTTAGTTATATAGGAAGGGTTGGCAGGTCAGTCGGCTATTTATTTCTGAGTATAATTACAAGTACAATAAAATTTTACACACGCAGTTCCGGGTACATGTTGGGGAAATGAAACTTGTAAAAGACTAAATTTTACAATTTTGAAGGTGAAAATTTTGCACCTTTAAATACTATTACAGATTTCCAGGTATTTATAATTTTGAAGTTGGAAATTTTGCAATAATAATTCTAATTTATAATAAAATAATAAATTCTATTTTATCAGTACCGAAGTATAGAATTCTTACAAAAGTATACAAAAGTGTTGTTTACGGTGAATACTCTTTATACCTCTAGTAAAATTTTTACAGCTTAAGCAGTCTTTAATGGTTCTAGGATATCGCAGGCAATATTCATTGCTTAAATGATGTAGGGAATGCCGATGATGAGAGGTAATTGGTTTGGAAACTTTATTATGAGATATTTTAAATAACGTTCCAAATTCTGTAACTGTCCTTTTGCAGAAAGAATCCCATGAAATTGTTTTAGCATCCAACATAGCGTTTTTATATGCTACTCTATTTCAGTTGAACAAAATGCATTTTTTACTCGTTCTGCTATATCGTGGTATGATTGATAACATCTCTGGAGTGTTTGAATTTTTGACGATTGATTAATAGAGAGCTGTGATGCGATTATCATTCTAAGGCATGTTAAACTGCATGTTCCGAGAACTTACAAAATATAACCACGCTGGTCAAAAATCGCAAAAAACGTATGGCGAAAATAGTTTTGACCAAGACCCTTCAGGAAACATTTCAACATGCCTATATTTCAATTTATGATTTAGTTTTCTTGATAAATTAAACGTCGGCTGATTGAGAATTACACGATTTATGACATACAATCATAAACATGAAACATGGCTAAAAATCGATTAAACAAAAATAGATAGCAGAATTATTATATGAAGTGCACCAAATAGATAAATAAGTTCAAAAAATGCACAACACTATAAACACATAGAAAAACAAATCATAATCAAAGACAAGTATATGCATAAATTTTACAATAGTATTATAAAAACGTAAATGTGTCAATAATATATTTTCTCAATCATTACATACGCATATAATTCTCAATAAGTAGCAATATTGCTGTAACTTAGGATCAAAGAAAGGAAATTCCAATTTCCACTCTGAGAAATATTTGCAATTTTATAAATATTTCCTATAATTTTTCATCACAAAATTTTCATTTACTTTAAATGCAGTTATCACAAGGAGCTGTGTGAAATAACATTTTATATTTTTATCAAATCAGAACTTAATCGATGTAGACACATTGTCTAACGCATTGTCTTTCAGCACAATCTGAGTATTGGCTTTCAACAGTTCCGGAATGAAATTAGATTCCCCTATAGCACTTTCTAGTAATTCTGAATCCCACTTAGTAATCAGTCATCAAAATATCTGGCTTTGTCACTGTACACATATCCCGCCCATATATTATCGAACAGTTTCTGCTGAGCGATCTGATGTCGAATTATTTCAATTTGTATAAATTCGTGTGAAGTTTATCAAAAAACATAACATTTTTCAATTTATTCATTTTTTAAAAAAATTTAGTTTATCTGTATATTTTATTTTCATGTCGTAAGATAAAAATATGATTAGTAAATATAGATTTCTCTTATTTCTGTAGGACTTTTACCACATTTATGCAAAGGCACTTTTAATAATAACTTCAACAAAAAGATTGAGGATTGAGTGGGGGGGAGAAAATAGTACAGGTACTTTTTGCTGCCTGATTCAATTTTAATCACGTCTCTAGTACACAGAAACAAACTGGTGGTTTAGTCAGCTAGAGTTTCTTCAGAAAATATAAAAATTTTAAATTTACGGTTCTAGAGAAAATTTGAAATATCCTGAGAAATTCGAACTCGAGAAAGTGTAAAAATTTCACATTATTTCCTAAATAAACTTTGAAAATTAGTTCAATATATTCTTATAAAAATAATCAAACTAACTAGAAACACCACCAAAGGCCGGGCAATTTTTGTTTTGTAGTTCAGCTTTATAAGAAGTATATCGCTCAGAAGCTTTGTTTATTCATCTCACTAACTATGTAAAGCTGTATATAATCTTTGATTTTAGCACATTATTAAAAAAAGTTGAAAATTATTAGGGGTTATGTGTATGACCTTTAATTTTTTTTTTTTTTTTTTTTTTTTTTTTTTTTTTTTTTTTTTTTTGTTTGTGGCTTACCCCACCGATCGACAGTGACATTAGATACATTCTTTGAAACCAGAGCAAACGCAGGAAATTCATCATGGCAAAAGTTCAAGATTGCGACTGTCGCTAGCAAGAGCCTTGAGCACAATACAGGTGACAGCACGACTTTGTTCCGCCCCAGTTTTGAAGAAAAGCGGAACGCGTCCGACAGCCTACCACCAGTCTCTCGAGAGGACTTTCGGCTCGCCGCATATTTAGAGTGCCACATGCCGCTTAGATACTATACATTTATAAACATCCATGCCTTCTTGGGGATTCTAACTCAGGCCCTATGGTACGGTAGACAGCGTCGGTAGCTACTACGTCGGTTGGGCTGCTCTTTAATTTATTACACTGTTGGGCAAGAAGAAAAATTAAAGATCTTACAATACATGGAAATTCTCAGTGTCAGCAGTTACCAACTCATGTGATCGATTGTTGTATTGTATTTGAATAGTATTAAGAGAGGAATTTGTTGTAAAACTCAAAATGTGTTGTGACCTACTAGTTGTTTGATAGAAACATCAGAAGAGTTCACGAACTTCATTAACTTCATGGTGAGAAACGCTGGTTTGATGTGTATGGGTCTTGGACATTGTGTAGGTGGCAGTATGACTGTCTACCCAGTTCTGTTTTAAATATAAAGAAAAATCCTCCGCGGAATGGGTCAAACGTTTTCCCACCCCTCTTTCCCTACTCCAAACCATTCGAAAGGATTTTCGATTCACTGTGTGTTTTTAGTGCTCCCATGCCGCAAAGATACTATAACATTCCAAATTATGATAGCATTTCACTACAAAGCTACATATATATTGCAGTTGTAGTGAAATTGGCCAAATAAGTCACTCTAACGGAATTACGGACAGATTTAAGGAGAACAAAGATTCTAAAAAACTACGTTGCTATTTTATGCATAAAATAATGCGAGTTATTGTTTCATTTTCTAAAGTGATGATAATCTAAAGTATCCTACTTACGTTATGAATACCTTTTCTTTCGGAAGATGAAAATATTATCTTATTACTTTGATCATCGTAATCATCTGACTTAAACACCCAACTGAGAACTAATGGAACTTAAGTAAAAAGGACAATAAAATGCAATTAATCATAAAATCTCAAACAACTTTGCTGTACCACAAAAGATCATGAAAGGCAGAAGATTAATGTAAAGAATGATATAAGCTGCCATTTATTTTTGTTTGGCATTAATCATTTGACAATGAAAATATAATAAAAATTTATTTCTGCTTTATATAGTTTGCTTCTAACAACGCGAGAATCGAATACCCAGTTTTGAATACGTAATTATTTTAAATTATATTATATAATTATTCTCTTATTATATATACTTTAAATATCGTAAGTGTTTTATTACATCTGATGAAAAGTCAACGTTTCTCCATCCAAATTAAACAGTTTCATTTTTGATTTTTCTTTAACTTTTGTTCGCTGCAGAATATTTTCTGTACCCGACTAAGCAATCTTTCACTGGCAATTTAGAGTCGTGAATATGTATTTAAGTTCTAAAATAATTAATTTTCTTAAAGTTAGTGGATTTTGTGCGACTATTGTTTTTCATGTAATTTTATGGTTTTGAAGCTTCAAATATTATATTAAAAATAAGATTAAAATAAGAATTCAAGATTTTAAATTTACTAATTAGCCAAATGGGCGTTAGCCCAGAAACGCTATTCATTTCAAAGCGGCATTTTACGTCGCCGGGAATCATTTTTCAAACTCTTGCCACCACATATTACTGCCTTGTATTATATTTAAGGAAATTAAATAATAAAGAATCTGCATGAATGTTTCTCGCATTGCGAAAAACAATACCTAGATACCTAGACGCCTTCCAATTTTGGATAATGTAGTTCTCCAACCGAACATGGGTACACAAAGCCCGAATTTTGAATTTCGAATTTGGTTTGTTATCTATTTCAAATTTTGTAGAGCTTTAACGAATTTTTGATTAACAAACTCGACGATTTCAAAGCAAGCAATGGCAACACTATTAAAAAAAAATTTACCTCCAGGGCGCGAGTCTGTGTATCGGAAATTCTAAATATATGCTCATTTTAAAATTATTTTGCGATATTGCTGTTGAACTGAATTTTATAGTTTAAGTGCAAAGAACATGATAATGAATAAATAAATATAACACGCAAAAGGCTGAAAAAACACCCTTTCGGGCGTAATATAAAGTCTGAAAACTTTTCAGATTTACTTTTTTTTTAATTTAAATTTTTCAACTAATTAAATCGTTTTCGATTTTGTATTAAACGTGTTAATACTTATTTTGCCACTCTGCTGGAAGGCCAGTGAAAGAAATTTTAAAAAACGTGGTTATAATTCTTTAATAGATCATAATACACATACTAAAAACACCTATTCGCTAATAATTCACTTAGCTGATTAAAAGCTGAAAAAGGCACTTAAGGAGGTAATTTGTTATCCAAAATCGAAGAAAGGCATGATTACCTACAAGCCAAAGAGAAAATAATCCATTCACATAAATGCATGAGATATTAGCATTTGCCTTCCAGTTTAAATGATTGGCAAAATTATAATCTAAACAATATTATATTTGGATTTGGTTTAAAAATGTTGTGAAGCGCTCGTTTCTTTACTAATTGCTGTGTTATTTCTATGTGCATTTTAGATTAGAGATGCTTTGTAATATAGATGTGGATTATCAATATGCGGCATTTGAATTAATAATGATGAAATTTCTAGTAAGATTTCCGTACCAAAAAATAAACTATAATTTGAGAGAAATTTTATACGTTTAGCATGTTTAAATAAATGACAATTTTTCCATATACGGAGGAAAAAAGTAACTGCTCTCTATTTGAGACATTAAATCCCCGTTATTTCTGCTGAAAAGATTCTTTGACTCTTTTTCCTTAAATCACTGAATCAAAGTACTGTTGATAAAGAAAGCTTTGCACTACCGATTGCCGTCAACATTAATGCAATCACAGTTCCTTGGTTCGTTAAAAGTCAGAGAAACCTAACAGAATCTGTGACGTTTTCCAGTGTTTAAATAAATTCTTTTCTGAGTGAAATGCTGAAACTCTGTCGTATAATGTTTTTAGATTAGAAGTCATTCAAATTTATAAATTCTATAGTATCTCAAAGCCATTATTACAAATAAGAAAATATGAAGTTCATCGCTAA